TACGTGTACTCATGAATTTATAGTGGGTTGTTCTGACTATGCTATACTTTGTGATTTTTTTTACTTTTCCGGTTTTTCATATAAAAATTTATGGTGTTTCTACTCATCACTTTTATTATATCAATATATTTTAAATTTTCATACAATATTAAAATGATAATTCATTATTCTATTAAACCTGACATACATCAATTATTATTATGATTCATCCTCCTGAGTGTACGGTGCACGTGACAGAGATGACTGGGTTGAAAATCTTAGCAGCAACTTTCAAAGTTTACACAAGCTAAACTACTTCATATAGAAATTTTATAAATTGATTTATATTATAACATCTAAATGGCTTGAAATAATAAGTTTATAAATGGCATTGAAATTTTATTTCGACACAATTTAAACATAAGTCAACTATATCAACATCTAAATATGATATTATTGTTAAAATCATAGTCAAGAATGACCAAAAAAAGATCATAAGGACCATTAATTATTCTAAATTCACTAAACTAACCAAGCAATATAAAATTGCATGATATGGGCAGCATTTAGGGCCCATTTGGGGCAGCATATTTGGTGCGGTGACGTTTTGAAAAAGCACCTGGCCTGTTTGGGTAAACTGCGTTTTGGCAGCTTATGAGTTTTCAAAACGCAGAAAACAGCGTTTTCACACCGCACCTATCTAGGTGAGATGACAGCTTATTGGCAACAGTCTGACTTTTCCAAAAAAAAATAAAAATTTGTAATAGCCGTCGCACCTAGCGTATTAGCAGATTATTTTTAATAAGTTTATCAGCGGATTATTCAATAAGCTACAGCTGCCCCAAACAGACCCTCAGTCACTTGAAAAGGGCTATTATCTGAATAATATTATTATCTAGCCAATACCTTCAATGCTAAAAATAGGACTAATGATGCTCCAACGAATATGTATTTAAATTATGTAACGAGTCAAGAAGACTTGTGAGTTGGCCCCAACTAAGCTAGATAAGTGGCTCACGAGCTAAAAAGCCAAGTTTAAACTAAACTAACACCAACTCAATCTGTTAGCTTGTAAGTCTGCTAGTTTAAAAATAATTATTATAAATTAAGTTCAAAAAATAATAAAATTATCTTTAAATCAATAAAAATTTTAATTAATATTTTATACTTGATATCAACTAATTTATTATTATTTATATTCTAATTGTTGATTTTATATGTCATTTTATTATAATACTGATTTGAATTAATATTATTTTCTCTCTTTCATGATCAATAAGCGGCTCTTGAGCCAGCTAAAATCGTAGAATTAAACATAAGCTCAAGTTCCAACTCGATAAATTAATCAAGCCCACGTTGACGGTGGCTCAAGCTCGACTCGATTCTCTTACACTCCTAACCAGAGCCAACTAATTGTAATAAAGAAAATAACTCTCCATAAAAGTTACTCTTTAATTCAAAAGTAATTTATACCAATAAATAAACTATCAATATTTTATCTCAGAATTATCGCCAAATAAAAGTTTTTTTGGCACCTCAAACTAATACTTGTTTTTCTTTTCTTTTTTTTTTTTTTTTGGTAGTTTTTTCATATTTTGGCATTTACATACATACCATCAATTCTCATGTATTTACATATCAAACACCCAAAACATTCATATTTGCATGTATAACATTTAAATCTTTAAGATAATATCAAAAATATTATCATCATTATCGTTTTAAAAGTGAAATACACATTTTTATGCATGTGCTTATGTATAGTGTAAATATCAAACTTTTAGCGTTGGATGTTAATACGTAGTAATTGGGTGGTATATATGTAAATTTTTAAAATTCTCAAGGGAGCTTGACCATTGTTCCACTTGAATCGGCATCAATGTTTGTGTTAAAAGACATGAGAATATTAAAGGAATTTAGGGTTTGTCTGGGGCAGCTACAGCTTATTGAATAGTCTGCTGATAAGTTAGGTACGCTGGCTATTAGAAATTTTAAATTTTTTTGGAAAATTCAGACCGCTGCCTGAAAACTGCCACCATGAAAACGCTGCTTTCAGTGTTTTCAAAATGTATAAGTTGTCAAAACGCAGTTTAACGAAACAATCCAGGTGCATTTTCAAAACGCCACCGCACCAAATAAGCTGCCCCAAACGGACCCTTAATCTCAAAAAGAATGGTTGATGAAAGTGTTAATAATAATATATACTAAGCTAAATATTATTTATAAATTTAAGCTTTTAAGTCTACAAAACGATTAATTACAACCTCTTCTCGTAGATAACTTGATTGAACTTCTGTAATTTCAGTAAAAATAAAATAAAATAAATAAATTGCTTTAAGAGTTTTTATTTTTTTTAATTTTTTTCTTTTTTATTTTATTTTCTTAAAGGTTTTGAGTTGTAAATGAACCTAATTTTAGAAGTTAGATAATGTTTTTTTATTATAAAAAAGCTCAATTAAAATATGGAAGATTTACATATATACCACTTAATTCCTACTTATTTGCATATCTAACATCTATACTTCAACGCGCGCGCGCACTACTTTCCACACATGAAAAGTGTATTTCACTCTTAAAAAATTTTAAATATTATTTATATTTTGGCATTTAATGCGAGACTTCAAATATGAATTTAGTTTTGGTTCGATCTGTAATATTCTGGTTTGAACAGGACCACGCTAATAAAAAATGCGGGCCATTGCACCTTAAAATATTCATCCGCTGGATGTAATTTCCTACAGAGTTAAAAAATAAAATGGCACTTAGGGCTGCAATTTGGCTTGTTGTTCGTGAACAGCTCGTGTTCAGTTCATTCGTTAAACCTAACGAGCAGAACACGAGCAAATTTTTAAGCTCGAAATGTAAACGAGTCAAACACGAACAACAGTTTGTTTGCTCGTGTTCGGCTCGAAATGGCTCGAAAAAAAAATTATATAATTTTTTATATAACAATATATTACATATATTATTTATATAATAATATATTATATATATTTATGTTAAGTTTAAATCATAACACCTCATGTGGCAATGTGGTTAGTGTCTTCTTTTTGTATAGATATGATATAGGTTCGAATCTCACACTTTACATCTATTTTTTCTCAATTTTAGTTTAACGAGCCAATTTCGAGCCGAACACGAGCCGAACACAAACACAAATATCTAAATCGATCCTAACACTAACACACTATTCACGAGCTGATTTCAAACACGAGCTAATTTCGAACACGAGCTATTTCAATTGAACCAAACACGAGCCAAGCCTGAGCTCGCTCAAGCTCGGCTCGTTTACAGCCCTAGTGGCACTTATCAGCCAGCTTTTGAGTAAAGTAGTTCAACCAATAAAGTTTAGATTCATTTATTTATATAATTCAATAATTTGGATTTTCATAAAAAAGTAAAATCATTTGTTTATTTATGTTTTTGAACACAATTTTTTTTTAATAAGGAATTTGGTAATAACTCATCCAATAATAACCTAATTATTTGTTTAATAAGAAATTCGCTAATAACTCATCCAATAATAACTTAAAATATTGATGCATACTAAAAAATTTGCGGCACTAATGAATTATTGTATTAGCATTGCAAGAGAATTCATCACACAACCAGACAAAAAACAACATAAGTTCTTACGTGGAAAACCAGTAAAGGGAAAAAACGTTGGGGTCTGACCCAGATGTAAGAATCTACTATAGGTAGATGATTACAAGGACCCTCTGTCTCACAAAAGAGAAAGCGTTGTTAGGTTTTCCAAGTTACAACGTCGGCTAGCGGCTTCCGGTCGATAGTGGTTAACACTGATTGCTGCTGATAGATGGTAGTCAGCATTCGACGATGGTCAGTAGTAGTTGATGACGATAGTAGTGTTCGACGATGATCGGTGATTGTCGACGGCAGTCGGTGGTGATCGAAGACTGTCGGCGGTGGTTGATGGCAGCCGACGACGATCGACGGTGATAGGGGTGGTGTTGGACTTCAACTCTTTTTCAAAGCTTTAAGTTTTCTCTCAAGCCTCCAACCCCCTCTTATGAGAGGAGTGAGTCTCTATTTATAGTATTCTGAGTGCAATGAATGCAAGAATATGAAGCACTTTGATCGGATGGTCTGGAGGGCTTCCTTCGATCAGATGGCGTTTGATGGACATTTGAGTGCCTGAACGATGTCAGAATTGAGAAATCTTGAGCTCGTTGGATTTGTCTTATTGAGACACTCAATTCGATTATAGGCTTGCTAGATTAGTCATTTGTTTAACCTCCTATATATGTTTGTAAAACTTTCAAGAGTTGTTTAATGACTTGATCTGAGCTTGATTTTACTCGGATTGGACTAATATTATAACATTGAGTTCTTCTTGTCGAACTATAAATTTACTGAAGTGAGAGTTCTGAATGAGTTTTTATCAAAATTTGAATAATTCATGCTTAAAAAATCGCCTCGAGATATGTCATGCCTCGCGCGCGCGCGCGCGCGCGCACACACACACACACATACAGACATACATACATACATATATATGTATGTATGTACACACATATATAATTTTTTAAGTATTCAATTCCAAATAAAAGATTATATAGAAATAGCACATAACAAGAGGCATCACAATCTATCAACATCATTCATCAAAGTTGATAAACAGTCAATTCTTCATAAAAGATGATTCATCACCATCTTATTCTTAGATTATAAATCAATAAAAAAAAATTGGGACTCCCATATAAAGGGTGTATAATCAAATCATGGGGTCGAGTTTGGGACCAACCAAAATTTAACCCAACTCAAATAAGCATAACTCAAACCCACATTCCATTCCGCCTACAACACTAACTGACGCAAACCCGAATAGCACGTTTAACATTTTTATAAACAAAAATAAATAAATAATAACATAATCAAGATGCAATAATACATAATGAGAAATATCTTAGATAAATGTAAATTAATAGAAATGGATCAAATATAAAAAAACTAAAGCCCTAAGCATGTATAACAAACAATTCTTAGAACACACACATACAGATGTAGGGTCATTTATGTAAGAATCCTTGTTACAGTTTCCTTCTTGATATCATAATCATTTAAGATAAGTAGCAAAGCATCTCTACCTATAACCCACCACTACAACTTCCAAAGTATATATTTTTGCAAGAATCTACTTTTCTCAAGGTTGTCATGCAATTTCTAGAACATATGCTCTCCTCATCCTCCTATAACATTCCACCAGCATCTGATTCTGATTAAAAGTTCAATCTTTACATGTACACACGCAGGAACAGAAAACCAACAACAGGCCATGATGCTTCAGATTGCAGCAATGGTGGCCATTACAGTGCTCCTCCTGACCGGTGCGGTGATAGACACGGCAGCAGAAATGCCCGAAGCAAGTTCGTTGTGCGTAAGCAAGTGCGGCACATGCCCAGTGATTTGCTCGCCTCCGCCGTCACCACCGAAACCATCAAGCGGTGCTATCCTAACCCCGCCGGCAGAGAAGCCGCCTCCGTCACCAACTTCATCGTTTTCTTCTTCACCGGCCAGCGGGGAGGATCAAGGCAGCCTCTCGTACCCCTACTATTATTTCTATACAGCGGATGCGGCCAGGGCTCAGGGCTTGTTTCATGGCATAATGGGGTTGTTTCTTTTGCTAGTGTTGTCATTCTGGATGTTGTAAAGTTTCTTCATTTGAGATTTGTCAGAACAAATGAAGGGTTGTGTTGAGATGTTTTCATGTCAGATGTTGCAAATGGTATACTGATAAGATTTGGTATGGGAATCATAAATATTTTGATACAGATTTCTAAAATATAACCGTTATAGTGCTCACAAAGCATAGTTCATAGGTCAGGCTCCCTCTGGCACATCTTTTTGCTGATTGTTCAAGTAAAGCCCAAGCTTTTATATTAGTAGCACAATTGTTTTTTACCAAATAACCAAGCTCTTACAGCACTTTATGCAGTAATTTAATATGATTTTATCAAATATTTAACTTCGTTACTGGACAGTGCGACACAGCAAAAGTGTACAATGTCAAACTGAAACATATTCTCTCCCTAGCTCATTTAGATGTCAATACTTGAAAGCTAAACCGCATTAATAAAAAAAAATGTCATTAGAACAAAGCTGGCCTTGTCAGAGCAGAACAATGAAATAGCTTACAAAATTAATGACTGAAGATTCAATGGAAAGCATTATGTATTTGCAGGGCACTAACATTGTCTGAAAAACCAGAAACAACCTAAGAAAATAAAATAAAATAAAATTTACAGACGTAGCACACAATTCTTATGTGTTTACATATCTCACACCTAAACTTTCAAATTTACATATAAAGTGTTTTTATTGCTTTAAACCTATGTATGAAAAGGTGTATTACACTTTTAAAAGTTGCACATGCTATTTTTGATGTGATATTAAGGATTTCAGGGCTATTTGTGTAAATATGAAAGTATAAGTGTGAGATATGTAAATACATAAGAATTTTATGCTATGAATTTAAATGCCCCTAGAATAAAAGTATGGAACCAAAAACACGTTAAGGTTAGGCAAGGGTACATAATTCTAGGCTAGAGAATATAAGCAGCTTTTCTTACCAGGGATATAAAATGTGCTAAAGCACAGTAAGATTATTTCATCGGATATAGCCTGTCTTTACTTGTCCTTGAAAATTTTGTGTTTATAAGACTGCAAGATAGAAATTCACTGATAGTCAGTCTGATAGAGTTTCAATGGAGGATTGCAAATAAATCCATATTAAGAAAATTAAATGCGCCACAATAACCTGACAGAGAAACAAATAAAACAAAAAAAAATTTATTTGCATCAGCTTTTATGATCAAAAGACACACGTACCAACATTAATACAAAAAATTATTCAAATATGTAACCTTATATGAAAAAATCCTATCAATTTACATTGAAGAAAGATGTTATCACATAGCTTATGATTTAAAAATTTTACATTATTTGACACAATGCACAGCTTGAATACACCACAATCTTTAATGCTGGTCATAAGTAACCTTTTAAAGGGCTAATAATGGTTTAGCAATGTTGATTAAACCAAAAGCACTCAGCCAAATTTCAGGCTCAAATGTTCGAGCTTCCACCCTTATTTGCACCTTGCAGCTGTTCCATGGGAGAGCTTGTGATGCTACCAATGGACCCATGAGTTTGTGAGCTCAATTGCGGGCTAGCAGGAGGTGCAGCTCCCAAGCTCCCACTATTAATCTGCTGAAGAGCACCGGAGTTGTATTGTTGGGGACTCATTGGAGTCTGCTGACCCATCTGTTGGGGACTTATCTGTTGTTGTTGTTGTTGTTGTTGTTGTTGCATAACCAAAGGAGAAGGAGAACCTGCCACCGATGGGGAAGTAACCTGAACTTGTTGAAGTGGAGAGCTTATCTGCTGCTGCTGTATTTGTGGAGAGTGTTGTTGAATCTGCTGTTGTTGCAGCTGCGGCTGCTGCTGTTGTTGCAATCGATGTTGTTGTAGCTGCAAATGTTGCTGCTGGTTCAGGTAGAAGTTGGGACCAGAAACCTTGGGAGGTCCCATGGATGCCATGGGGGCGTTGGACTGCAAAGTGTTCATGCTGGTACGGTTCAGTGCATTACTTAGCATGGACAAACTAGCTGATGTGGGAAGCATCTGATTGTTGTTCCCGGTAATGTTAGAAATGCCAGTTTGGGGGCCATACATGGCCCTGTTAGACATTCTCAATTTCGTCATCATGGCTGCGGCTTGTGCGGGAGACAAGGAATTCGGGCGGATGTTGGTGCCAAAATTGGATGCTGAAGTTGGAAGCATCTGGTTGGGGTTGACATTACCCAAGCCAGGCAAGGCACCCATTGGAGAGGAAAGACCACGCACAGCCCCCATGCCGATGACATTAGTTAGACCCGAAATTCCAACCATATTATTGCCCATATTCCCCATTCCCATTGCAGCCCCAAGTCCCATCATCATTTTCCTAGGGATTTGAGTTTGTTGTTGTTGTTGTTGTTGCTGCTGTTGTTGTTGAATTTGGAGCTGGATGTGTGCAGGCTTATTGTTCGTGATAGGAGTAGAACCCATTTGAATGTTTGAGTTCTGCCCAATTAAATGGGAGAGAGGATTGTTTGAGAGAACTGGAGAAGATCTCTGGATATGAGGGAGACTAAGCTGCTGCTGCTGTTGCTGCACGTGGGACTGTGGATTTTGCAGCTGCTGAAGCTGCTGCTGTTGTTGTTGCTGAAGTTGCTCAAGCTGTTGGTTTCTGGCAGGGATTCCTGGACCTGACAAATAGCCATTAGAAATGCTTGAGGTTTGGGAGCTACCTCCAGAAATCAGCATTCCAGCATTGCTGGGAATGGTATGTGCGTTAATGGGAGCCATTCCACCATTATTAGGAACTGTGGCGGCAGGCAAAAGAGCAGTAACCAAATCTGCATGTTTTCCCCCAGATAGAGCATTCTCAGTTGACATTCCTGGAGCTATAGATTGACCTCCTGATGCAAAAACCATGCGAACTGGAGGAGTTCGAGCTAGAAATAATTGATCTTCAGTTTTATGATGCCCGTCACGCTCCATCTGCAAGACAAAAAGCCAAATTGAGTATGATACTAAAATTTCAATAAAAAAATAGAACCTAATAACAGAAGTTTACTGCAGAGGTACTCACAAGTGCAATAAACTGTGTGGCAAGAACATCGGCGCAGTGCTGGATACATAAACGAAAGCAAGATTTAGATCAAACAAATTGGCAGGCAATATACCAGAGATAGGTGATTGACTAAGATGTGGATTCTCACAGTGGTGCGCAATGTCTGCCAGCAATCTACAGAACTAGGAATATCAGAATCATCTGCGTCCCCATATTGCATTGCCACAGTGCCATCAAAGGGTTTTTCACACATCATCAATCGGCTTGCACTCCTTCCAGGAACAGCTTTAAGGAAAAAAAAATATTATTATTATTGAAGGAAATGGCCTGTAGTTAACGTTGATTAGGAATCATGGTTGCCTCAACGAAAGAAATACTAACCTTGATAGACACGATCAGAGCGGATGAAAGTTATTAATCTTGTCTTACAATTATTGATGTTACCACCTCGAATGGATCTTGAAAGAGAATCTGCTGGATCAGTGAAATCCTCAGAGTTCGATGAATTTGATAGAGCGAGTGCTACTTGCTTATCTGAAAATGATCGAGTCTTCCTTGCAGGAAAATTTTCGACCTTGTTCTTTCTGGCATTTAATATGAACCTGAATATAAGAAATGTCTGGTTAATGGACATTTGGTTGAAGAGATATTTTCCCGTTAAGTCAAATGACCCTTTATTAATTGGAGCTATTCCATCTGGCATAAAATTCATGAAGTCAAGATGGCAGTAATATTAAAATTGCAGAATTGGTTAGCATATAAAAGGTGATGGATATTCATAAGCAAGCATAAATTATCTTCCAGTGATAGAAACCACATTGGGGACGGGGCTCAGAAATTAAATGGATGAATGCAATAACACATGAAATATTTTCTAATTTGCGTAATATGCAATGCGGCATGAAATATTAATGTTTTATACATAAATGATACAGCATGTTGGGTCATCGTAATTGGACTCGATCTAATTAACATATGGGCCTCCACCATTTGGATCATCCCACACATCTTCATAGCTTTCCTAACTAAAAGAGAACATAAAGAAAGAAAAATTACATAATAACATCAGCTGCATACAGACAGATTTTCTAAAGCACTACACACTAAGCCACTAGGTAAGTAGAGGTCAACTAAGACTACAAAAGAAAGGCTATTAATAAATCTAGGCTGAACTGAAACAAATCGAGGCAAACTACTAAGCATCAAAGGTCAACTAGGATAGACTAACGTCAAAGGTACAGAGGTTTCACCAGGCATCTACTGGCTACAGTAAACTAATAATCCCCTAGGCTTAACTCGGTCAACAATAAATTCAAGATCATACAAAGGATACTTAAAAGTAGCTAAAGTGGTAAGGTGAACCCAGTCAAACCAAGATCCCAATTGAGATAAAACAAAGTAAGCTATGGTAAATCACAAAACCACCTAAAATGGCTAGGATTGGTCAAATACTAGGTTCATTATGCCACAAGGTTGCCTAGATCCATTTGGTCAAAATAAATCAAAAACCTCACGTAGAGTAGGGTTAACTAGACCAAATCGGGTTAAATGCAATAAACATGAAATAATTCTAATTCGCCTAATTTCCCACCTTTCCTCCTCTCAAAAATTCCTCTCTTTAGTTCTCTCACAACTATGAGGAGAAACAAACAAATTTAAAGGGAAAGAAGAACAAGAAGAAAATTTACATCTTATTGAAGAGCCATATATTTATAAAAATTATTATACATGATATTTACGTTGGTAGAAACTACACCATACAATAAAAAAATATTAACCACAAACAACAGGGAAAAAAAAATTTGAATCTCAGGAAAAAAAAAATGTTGCGCAGGCAGATCCACCTTGGATTATACCTCCCTCTCTCTGAATTTCATACACCATGTTGGTGTTAACATTAATCATAACATACAAACAAACATCGCTATCTTTAGATGTGTTCCAAAATATAACCAAAGATTATATAAAATATAGGGAAATTTACATGCATTCCACACAATCTCTATATATATCCAAAACCTAAAGTTTGATCTTTTACATGTATAACACTATTATGCTATAAACATATGCATAAAAATGTGCATTTCATTTTTAAACACTAGGTAATAGTGGTATTTTTATGAAATATTAAATATTTGAGTGCTATACATGTAAATATGAAAGTTTAGGTATTAGATACATAGATACATAAGAATTGTGTAGTATGTATCTAAAAGCCCCTAAAATATAATGAGGTTGGATGTGAGTTCTGAGCCAATTTGGATAATTGTCTCAATTTTGCGCCCTTAAATAATCAGATTGAAAGTAAAATGAAATCATACAAACTAAATTGAAAATTTCACAATTACTTCTCTAACCGTAAGGGGAAAGAACTTTATTTCTTATTCCTCCATGGAAAACATGTCACTGTACATTCAAAAATGATTTTCCTCCAACAATAGCAAAGCTCAAATTCAAGTGGGTCTTAGGGGCCTAACAGATTGAGCCCACTAACCATGCATTTAAAGGTTTGGTTCTGACCAAACCAATGGTTCGGTTCTGACCAGGCCAACGGTCTAGTTCTAACCAGGCCAATCGTACTCATTAGCCGTACTTTTGAAGGTGACAAACTACAGAACTTTTTGCCGCCCAGAAAAACTAATAAGTACCTCTAAAGCTTGTCAGCAAACATGTGAGTTTCTTCGACCAGGCTCAACAGCACTAAAGCCTTCAGGCGAGCTTCTCCAGGCGAGCTCACAATTTATGAGTTTTTTATTGAGCTTCGCATGTACCAATAGAATCCTCTTATCGAGCTCATCAATAGCTAGGTTGTTGAATCATTGAGCTCGATAGACAGTTATTTCAGATAGAAGAAAGAGAACTTTATTCCATTATCATGTATGTATCCATTTATTGGCCTCCAAACATCAATGCCAAGGATCTTATCAACGACGATTATACTTGAGATTCATACAATACATCATATAATGTAGCCTTTTTGTTATTGTTTAGACCCCTGCGCGGGCACATGGGCTCTACAATGTATGAATAGGAGGCAAAGGGGAAGAAACAAGTACTCTTGGACTCTCTCTCTCTCCCCCCAATGAAAATCTCTCTCCCTTACCATTTTTTCTTTCTTTTTTACTTACCAAAGTTGAAGGAGAGTGACTCTCTAAAAATTCCTCAGCTCCTTTATGTCTCTTTCACAAGATCTCTCCCTGATCATATAGCTTCACGGATTATACTGGATTATAAATCCTAAAGCGATTCAAAATTCTTAAAGATGCGGTGAGCATGGAACTCATGCCCAAATCCAGCAATGAGATCTTTCAGTCGAAGGAAAACAAAGAAAAAATATGAATTGCATTAAATAAATCATGCCACATGAAATGAATAAGCTCAGAGAACATATGCATAAAATGATTAAAGGCAGGAAGAGTAAAAAAACTCATTCGAGAAGCCATTCCAAAAGGCGTACGGGATCATCAGGATCGTTGGCGCGAAGACGAGGACCGCAAAGACACCAACCACCAAGAGAAGAGCTACCACAAACCATAGCAAGGAGAGCTCTGGCTCTGACGCTAGAAGAAGAAGATGAACCACATATCCCTGGAGAAGAGACTCTAGAAAACTCGAATGATAAGGAGAGGAGGAGGAGAAGAAGGAGAACATTATTAGAGAATGCATTATCTAGATAAATTAATGAAGTGGAACCCTCAGGAAGTTCAAAATCCCTTCCTGGATTCTTACGATGGGGGGAATGATCTTGCTAATCATTTAGTTTATTTTGAATTGGCAGTTTGTGTGTTATAAATAAATGACGCCCTTAAGTGTCATTAATTCTTACAACGCTCCAGGAACCGACTCTATGTTGGTTCAACAACTTGTCAATAGGAGTCATCACCCCCTTTAATATGTTCAAGCGAATGTCGTGGATCAATTCGCCGTCGCTCAGAAGTTACAAAAAAACTATAAAGCTTTACTGAAGATCTGACAAGCTCTATCTGAAAGGTTGAGGAGCTTCATCATTAGATTCTAGCGTGAGATGCTTAACATTAGAGATCTTGAGCCTTCCATCACCCAAGAAGCACTTGCTCAGGTTCTACGTGAAGGCCCTTCTTGATAGACACTTGCCTCACAAAAGCCAAAAACTTTGGTTGAACTTTTGAAGTTGGCCAACAACCATATTTCAACCGCAGAATATAACTATTTGTCAAATCCCTCTTACACTGGAGAAACAGAGGACGGATTCCAAAAAATACACTTTTGTGAATACCGAAGGTCCCGACACCCTCGATAGCAATAGCAACTAGAGCAGCTCAATCAAAGGTTTGTTGCAACGCTAGAAATCACTCCCTTGCAAGTGTTGATGGTTGAGATATAGAGGTCATCTAAAACAAAGAATTCTTTAAAAGACCTCTGTCGATGAAAATCGAGAGTTTGCAGTGCAATCTCAACAAGTAGTGTGCTTATAATCATAATCACAGGCATAATATTAAAGAATGCCATCATCTTCGAAACTTGATCAAAGAGGGAAAGTTAAAAAAATTCTGTTTGCCAGAGACCAACACTCAGAGGCAAGGAAAGGTGCGTATCGAGATTGCTTCGAACAGACCAGCCCTTGCCATAACCATGCACATCATCAAAGTCGCACCTGCAATTTTTGTGGGGATGAACCCGAACCCGCGCAACGTTTAATTTTGATGTGATTGAAAGGAAGAGACATCCATTCCACCCACTTGGCTAAAGCCACCACTCCAACTCATCAACCGAACATATTCACGGGAGCTGACTTACACGGCGGCAGAAATCCTTTCAACGATGATATTGTGGTAATCGTGGTGATATGTAATCACCAAATTGGGAGGGAGCATTTTGATTGACACTAAGACTTTTCTCAACATCCTCTTTGAAATTCAATAAGATGAATATGACAAATGCTCAATTAACTCCTACTTCTGGACCTCTGTGAGGATTCTATGACTAGAGGAAAGAAACTTATGGAATCAACTCCCTGCAGGCAACTTGGGGGAAGAAGATAAGCAATATACATCCATGATAGACTTCATAGTAGTGGACGACCCAACTACCTACACTGACATCTTTTGTAGGCCAGTGCTTAGAGTAGAGACTTCCACCTATCATGTAGTCGTCAAATTCCCAATAAGAGAATAAATCATCGTTGTTCGAGAGCATCTGGTTCAATCTCGACTATGCTACATGCGAGCAGTATGGAACGTATAAGAGAACCTCCTCGAGCTTGATGATCAGGAACCAACATGAAAACTGTTGAGACCACCGAGCGAATACATATTTCTGAAGGCAAGTGCGAGCGAACATTTATCTCTGAAGGCAAGTGCGAGCAAACAATGCAAATCAACTCTAGCATAGTTGCAAGCATAAAGAGCAGTCGATGTCAAGCTTGAGGAATCATTGCAGCGTGTTCGCCTTGATTCCGAACGAGATGTCAAGAGTTGATATCAATGTTAATTGTCATAAGCTCGACATCAATACCAGCACTAGACCCATCAAGAAGAAAATGTGAGTCGTAGATACAACCTTGGTCGAACCTATCTGGTAGGATGTTCGGCTCATAATCATCTGCAAAGTCCAATATCCAAAC